GCAATCGAGGGTTAAAAGGTTAATGGGCAACATTAATAGACAGCGTACGAGGCAATCGGGCTGACCGGCTGGCAAAAGGCAGCAGTTACAGCTTCCAATACACAGGGAAAAATTATAATAGAAAAGCCTTTTTTAAAATAAAATTAAGAAAATATATACAAACTTTAAAAACAATAAGCCTGAAATATAATAATTGTAATAATGGAATCATAAAGTTAGCTCAAGTTAAGTAGGAAATAAAACAGTGTCTGAAAAATTAAAAAGAAAAGTCTTGAAGCCTCGTTTTGGTAACCTTCTTTTATAAAGAATGTAAACCTCACTTTATGGACATTTTACAGTCAGCAAATGAAGAAATTTTAAGTAAATTTCTTTAAAATTAAAATTTAAAAACATTTTTCTTTCAATTTTCCCCACTGCACTACCTCTATCTCCAGCTGGAAAAGCCATCGGCAGATCGCTAATGTCGCCTTGATTGCCTGGCCCTGGGTCCCAAAATAACAAAAAAACAAAACTTTCCTCCTGAGATCAAAACGAATGCGTATTTAAATCCATCGAATATGTTATTTTTTACCGGCGACGAAAAGCGAAAAACTTTCCCACTCCCAGCCAAGACGATGGGTAAATGGCACTTATGAAAAGCCATCGACATAGACAATTGCAGCAATTTGTATGCACTCTGGCGATTGGCCGCTTGCATATGATTGACTTATTGATTGGGTCGAGTGATTGGTCGGCTGATTGATCGATTGCCCGATTGCTAAAGTGACGGACTGGCTGACATTAAGCCGCGTTTAGCCTCAATTAGCTAAGACGACAGTTTTGCCGGCGGGCTCTGATAGTTCATAGAACTCTGGCCAACAACCCGTTACTTAGCTCCTATATATAGCTCGATATGGGTACTGAATGAATATATATATATATATGCTAATAATAAGTACGCCAAATCGAGAGTCTAGACTTTATATATAAATAGCCCCATCGAACCGGCTTGAGACTACGTGCCACGCATGCGCATATAGATTTATTTATATATTTGTTTTTCTCTCTCTATATATATTGGTAGGCAAGTTATTTACGATGTCAAATGCATTGAAATTGCATTGCAAATGTGCAAAAATGTTGTGTTTATTCACTGGCTCACTCGTTGCCATAAATCACGGGTTAAACATGCGAGAAAAATCGCCCCCAGAAGCTGTTCACTGTTTTTGTTTCTTCCATATTTCGTTGGCTTGTTTTTTCTTTGTTCGGAGCAACAAAAATAGCCTTCCTACTTAACATTTAATTTATGCGTAAGTCTGGATTTAGTAGCTTTTCAATATTAATTTCGTTTTGCCAAAGAGCACGGCATGAGCATGCCTCATAAATCACAATAACACAAATAAAGCATATATATCCCATAACGCATTCGGATTTATTACGCAGATGGGGAAAAATACAAGCAAAAAAAAAGGGCTGCTGTGGCATATTTTATAATTTATGTTTTCCAATGTCTTTTTTGGTGTTGTATTTTTATGATCGCATTTTTTATAGGCCAAGATTACAGCAGAAGAAGAGGTACATTAGCAGGGCAGATAAGGTAGAGAGATCATGGGGCCAACTCAACTAATCCAATTGTCATAAAGGTATTTCCCTAGTTTTATAACTTTTAACCGAAAGATAACTTCTGCAAATATTAGTTTTTTGCTTATTTTAGTTAAGATATAATTTCAAGCTTTAGGCAAAGAGTTTAATTATAAAGTTTGTATATCTAAAAATACCCTATATTTACACCTGATCTTCATTCCCCCTCAATCCACTCACAATAGGCCGCATCCCACACTGTTTTTATGGCCCAAAAAAATAAACGCTTTTGACAAATCGTTTGGTAGCCCAGCTGATGGCAGCTTCTCTTGTAATTTCCACAGATGAAATGTGATAGGGCTGAGTGAAAATTTAACTAGATACCTGGGGACGCTTTTTTTTGTTCAGCGGGGGAGTGGGCTTAATTGTGTGACGTCCAACGTCAGCGACTCGGACAGCTGCTATCCTCCAAAACAAATCCTATTAGAGCTGCCCGAAAAGTGCCGCCGGCAGACCCGGCCAGCTTTGGCAAACACACAAATTTAATAAATAAAATAAAATGGAAAATAATCATAAATACAAAGAGCGCGCAGCTGTGCCACAAGCGTGTGGCTGCCACACAAACTCACGTAAGTGGCAAAGATCGCCGAATGCGACCCGGCGGCGGGCCCAGGCTCTTTGAGCCGGAGAAAAAAATAATAATAATAGATAAATCCCCACAGAGTTTGCTTTTGAGCCTGGCCTGGCCTTTTGCGTGGGCGTGTGTAATTTGACATCTTCATGAAATAATTAAAATTATTTATTGTTAATTTATTTTCACTCTGCCGCAACACCAAATAGATAAAGTGGCAGATAAGCCCCGTGTGTGTGTGTTTGCGCATTAAACAATTGAAATTAATTTGTCAAACGTTTGACAGCGGCCACGCCCATCCCCACTCAAAATGTCCGGAAAGGCGGCAGTCCCCGAGATGCTTTTCCGTGGCAAGAAAAATGGGGAAAAAAAATAAAAGTGTGGTGAAAGGAATTTCCAAGGCAAGAAACTTTCACGGCGAAAAAGCTTTTAGCCGGGGCCACGGCAAAAGGTCAACCCCGTTGGCCAATAAGGTAGCAGTTAGTCGAGTTCGCAACCAGCCCATATGCAAATTCATTTTCCGCACTCGACACGGTAAGAAAATTGTAGGTTTTCTTAAGGACATTTCTAATTTATTGAGTTATGGAATTTTGTAATCAATAAAAAGGTGAAAATATTAGTTTGATTACAGCATTTTCTCGTTTTGTTTAACAAACAGTCTACACAAGAAACAGAATTAGGTACCTAATTTCTAGTTCGGAGCCAAATTATAAAAATGTACAATACAAAGTCTTCTATAAAGAATATAAAAGTCAATAAATACAATAAATAAATCCTCTGTTGAGGTTTTACTCTTTATAAGATTTTAAGATATTCTAATTTTAGTCAGAACCTTAAAAAATTGTGAAGGAGTCATTTCCGACCCTATAAATTATATATATTCTTGATCAGCATCAACAGCTGAATCGATCTAGATATTTCTGGAAGTAAAAAATTTTTAACAATTTTTTTTTTCAAATTTTTATATTTATATAATAAAAATTAAATTAAAATTAAATAAATAAGCATAAAATTTACAAAAAAAAAATGAAAATTTTAAAATTTGAATTTGAGATTGCAAATTTATCAACCTAATAAAAACTAGCTTGGGAAAGTTTTCAGAATTGAAATTAAAGCATTTTTGGCTTAGTTATAAGATTTTAAAATATTGATAAGTCGAAAAAAACCCTCATATAAAAATATCTAAAAATATGAGTTCAAAAAAAGTGAATATTTTTTAACGTAGCTGTGATCGATTTCAGATTTGAAATTATAATCAATAGCAAACTGCAAAAGGTTATTTCCTTTTCTGCTTAATTCTTTATTTAATATAAGTTTTGTGTTTATGTTTATCTTAGATCGATGAAATCGCCCCGACGAAGTGAATTTTGTGTTATTAATAACCCTAGCTTCTTAAATTTAAATTATTGAATCTTCAACGATCTAGTATATATTTGTTTCTATTACGCTTAAATTGCTGCATTAGCTCTTGACGTGTGTATGGTTTCTTTTTGATTTGCAGATCTATTGGGTAGGAAAACAAAAATGTTAAATCTGTTTTTAATTCTTAATTAATTAATTAAAACCCCATTCTAAATTTTCCACTGTGCACTTTTCCGGCACAACAAATTAATCAGCTCTGTGAGTAGAGCTCTCAGAGCTTGTGGTGGGTGGGCGGCTAACAACCTCGATTGGAAGCTACTCGGGGATCTGGAATCTGAAATCTGAAATCCCAAATCTGTGAGAGATCTTTGAGATTTCGGCTACCTGCTGTCGAATGCCCTGCGGCAAAAAATATCGCGAATGCAATTAAATGCAGTTTGCAGCTCCGCACGGGCAGTTAATCATGCATCGACAGCCGGCTTTCTGCCGGCAAAACAGCAAGACAGAAAAGCAAGGGGGGAAAAAGCCTCAAAGAAAAACAAAATAAATAAAAGAAAAAGAAACAGAAAAGCTGAAAACAGCAGCTCAACATTTTGGCGGTCACTTAGAAGTGGTGTGGCGGTGGCCGGTGCCCGTGGAAAGTGTTGCGCAAAAAAGCGGCTGGCAATTAAAACACGTTGTGGCTCCAACTTTGGCTTTGGCTTTGGCTTGGAGCTTGGATGTGGATGTGGCTGTGAATGTGGCTATGACGCACAGATGGCGTCGCTGGCCAAGTCGGCTGTGATTGTGATGTGCGCAGCGAATTGGCTTTCAACGGAGGAGCTCCAGTCCAGTCCCGTCCAGTCCAGTCTTGGCCATTCATTCCATTCCACAGCGGCCACAGAGGCACAGGAATGAGGAAACGTTTTCGGTGAAAAGCTGAGACGCGTTGAGAAATGTGGTTAATTGATTTCGGTTTTCGAGTGTAATTAATTTATGGTTTCCTTTTCGATATTCACCAGCAGAATCACCACAAAGCTTATTGTTTAAAACGGAATAATAAGGCAGGTGCATCGCGGACTTACAAAGATCTTTTGTGATATGTCAGTGCAACATTGTGGAAAATTGCATTGTTTTATATTTAACTCTTTGATATGTGCTTAAGCTTGAAAAACTGCCAGGGATTAAGTGTAGTTGTGTGTTTAATTAAGTAAATACAGAAATACAAATATAAAACTGACTAAGAAAATAATGTTAAATAATAATTTCTTCAATTTATAATTGGTTCTAATGTATTTGTTGGGATAAAATCAAATGATTTTTCAACTTTCCTAAGCTTCTTTCTAATTTAATAAATTATTCATAGAGCTGAAGACCTTTCTGGACTACTTTTTGAGTTGAGAAAATTGTAAATAATACTTTTAACTCCATTTAACTCATATTTATCCATTTCTATATATATTTGTAGAATCACCCTGCATGGCTATACGACAATGTCCAATGCTCGCGAGCTGGCATTGATCGAGAAATGGGCTGACATTGCCACGCCGGCGACGCCACATCGGCCGACATTGTCGCCAACATCGCCGCCAGCTTTACACAGATCGCTGGTGAAATTGTGCTGCTGTCCACAGCGAAGGCGTTACAACCTCAAGCAGCCGAAGAAGGTTAATACGCTGCATGCCAGAAATATATTCGTCGATGATAGCGAATTCACTTATATTGATGATGTGCCACGGCGGCGTCGAGATTGCAGCAGTGATTTTAGCCACGATCTTAGCCAAGATAAAGCGACATCGTCAGATACCGATACAACCAGAGATGTGGACGATGATGAGGCCAATGATATCGCCAAAGACGACGGAAATGTGGCGCTGATATTAATGAATCAACGAAATCTGAACGAACAATGGCGGCAGGACAACAAAGGCAGCATTAGCAACATTCAACTAGCAGCAGCAACTAAAAATTGCGCTGTCACAAAGAGCCCGCCAAGTGGCAATGAACAGCAACAGCAGCAGCAGCAGCATCAGCAGCAGCAACGACAACCAACCCAAAGACTTAGCTTGCAACAGCAGCAACACCAACAGCAACAACAGCAACAGCAAGAGCAACATAGCAATAAGGAAAATACACTAGACAACCAGCAACTGCGCTGTAATTATTGTAAATTACCCGACACCATCGCCGCCGAGCCCCAAACGAATAGCAATAGCAACTCGAAAATTGATTCACCCAAGTTGTTGGAGAATAAAATGACAATTACGACAGCAACTGAGACCGAAACAGCAACGGCAACTGGCGAGTGTGGGCTGCCAGCAACAGCAACAGCAGCAGCAGCAGCAACAACAACAGAAGAGTTTGTGGGTGCTGCCACAGAAGTGTTGTGCAGCGATAAAGCAACATTGACAGCAGCAGCAACATCTGAAGTTGCAACTAAGCCCCGCATTGCAGCGCGTCCCACCACGCCCAGCCGCCTTAAGACTGTGATCAAAACGACAATGGTGAAGCGAAGTCCTAGCCATGACTCAACGGCAACACATGTGTTGCTGCCGAACAGCTGCAACACCAACAGCAACAGCAGCAGCAACAGCAACAGCAACAGCAACATTGCATCTCATGACGAGCCCAGACGCTCGGTTAGGGAGCGCATCGCCGCCTTTGCGGCAGGAAATGGTAAGTTTACTTAATCAGCTTTGGCTTTAGCTATGACTTTGTCAGTGTCGCCACATTATTGTGGGAACTATTGGACTTTGGGTTAGGCACCAGAGTCACACACTCATCGAGGCTAGTTAATAGCAGCAGTTATTGTTATTAATTGATCAGAGCAAGGGTTCTGTTTTTGGTGGGGGAAAATATAAAAGGAAGTGCGACATGATGCGATTATACCATAAATAAATTATGTTGCCATTTCCGAGTGCAATCAGACTTAAGCTTAACCAAAATATGTTATGGATATTTCCCCTTAACATGTAGTTAATTATATTTAAGTCATTAAGACTCCAAAATATAATATACAAAAATGATAAAGACATATGCAAAGCTTGTAAGAAAACGAATTAATTAAAATAAAAGTTATTCTGAAAGTAATCCCAAAGCCTCATCCTAAACCAAGGTCATTTTGAATCAAAAAGCCAGCTCAGTTCCTTGTCATTTCCTGTTATTATATCGTGGAATATCGTGACAAATACCAAGTATTTAGCCGATGCCACCGATAAGACATAAATGCCACACAAAATTGAATTACATTTATTTTTCTCAGAATAAATCTCAAGCATGTGAATCATTTTTGCTCTGACTGAAAATTACTTACAAATTCACTGAAATCAATTAAAGGCAATTTGTGGCACAATTAAAATACTTATAAAGGAAATACAAAAACATACAAAAATAATAAATAAATTATTGACATAAACAGGAAATTTATAGAAAATCCAGCCAGCTGCTAAGGGCGTGTCTTTCTGACTTTTTTCTATACATATATATATTTTTCACTTTATTTTTTACCGACTGCAGTTTTGTGTGTGTTTTTTTCTGTAATGAATTATGCATGACATGAAGCCTTTGGTTTCCGTTAACATGGCACACTCACAAATATAGGCACACACCTTTGGCATGAGACTCGAATCTATTACAAATCAATTAAATGCCGCAAATGCTTAATAAAAACTCACTTAAACTTCCCAACTCGACTTCATTTTGTGCTTAATAATAAAGTAAAAAATGTTTATTATTAAAGCGTCTGCATAGGTCTGGTCGGGCAATTGGGAAAGTCGTTAAGTTGGGTGCAGCTCAGAAGGAAAAAAAACGCATTTTGAAAAGAAAAACACTCCCCGGTCAGCTTTTTGTCACCAGTTGTAAAGTGCACTCCATTTGACTCGAACCACGCCCAATATACCCCTGCAGTTTTGCACAAAAAAAAATCAGGTAAAGTTTATAAAAATAAAGGAGAAAAAAACAGCAACAAAATCGACAAAGGCGCAACAGGAAACACGTACAACACACACGCGGCAATCGACGTCATGAGTGCGTATTATATCATTTTGATAGGCAAATGAGGCTTGAAAGCCGCCAGAGTTGGAGTCATTCCCAGAGACACAAGCCCCAGAGGCAGCCCTGCCCTAAGCTGGCTATCTTCGGAGAAAATAAGCCAAGAAAGAGGACTATTTAAGTACCCTTTCTCAAGAGATTCCGTAAAGAGTTGATGGATCTCTTTTAAAGCTTAGAAAAGTTATTGTAAAACATATTTCATGTAAACTCACCCTTCATCACTGCATTTACTGCTTCACAAAATACCTGAAACAAAGGAGAAAATTCAATTTTAAAATTAATATATATTACATTAGAAGACAAACTTAATGTCTAGTCAATAAAACTCTTTGGCAAGTGTATAGGGTAGCAGACTTAAGTTGGGCGGCGTCTGAGGGCGCCTGTGATCTGTGCTGATCGGCATGACGAAGACGAAGACGTTGTCCTGAACCGACACACGTCAGCTCAGGAAGGGATTCCTTGGAGCTCCATGCGATTCCCTGGGTTCTCGCTAATCGCATGTCCAAGTGTCCATTTTTGCCCCAGCTGACAGCTTCTGGCGAGCGGTGAGATGAGCTCACTTGTGCTTATTTCATTTTATTTATTTATTTACTCATTCCACGCCTGCACAGTCTCCCAGTTGAGATGAAATGCATTGAGGTAGGTCTCCAGCCAGCAGGGGTTGGGTACAGAAGATAACTGCAAGCTGCAGGCAAATATTGACCAGACACAGAAAACACACTTATGTACTTTTAAGCATTGTCTTCAATTAGGCACAGTGACACCTCCCCCTGAGCAAAACCGGCAATTGGCAATTAATCACGTTGCAGTGACCTCAGTCAGCGAATCAATCAGCAAGGCACACACACTCACCCATCACAATGAATAAACGGACGGACAGTGGCCATTTAGCGGACACACCCAGCAAACAATTTTATTTCGAGTTCAAGTAAATAAGCAAATAAGCTAAATACAGCGTACAACATGTTTTGTTTTCTGCGCTTCTTTTGTTTGGTCTTTGCAGAGCCCGAAAAAAAGAGTATAGAAATTTATGACCAACCATCAAATAGAACAATAGTCTATGTACATATCCCCTTTTTAACCCGTTAATTAGGCATACAAACAAAAGCTAAAATAAGAATTACTATATAGCAAAGTGGATAGTAAATTGCGACATTCCATTGGCATTTCAACCGACAGCATATGTCATCAAATGTGGTCATCGAGTGGGTTAGATTAAATATTAAATGTTTATGAATGAAGCAAGAGTTTATACTTTTTGAGCTGTATATTTTAGATTACAAAACTGAAATAATAAAATATAAAATAAAAGGAAAGCTAAAGTTTATATACCTTTGAAGTTTGAAATTGAATTAAAGGATCGTATGTAAATAGTTAGCTGTCTTTGAACCGATATTTATCGATACTTTTGTATGACCAATTCTTCAACAAATCAAATTTTAAGAATCCCATAACTAAGCCAAAAATATATCAATTTTCATTCGGAAAGCTTTCCTATGTTAGTTTTTGACAGGTTAATAAATCTGCGTACTCAATTACAAATTTAAACTAATTTAAATTTTGGTCATTTTTTTACAATATTAAAGTTTACATCTCTAACTATGTAAATTTTTGAACAGAATTTCGAAAAATTTGTTTCCTTCCGGACATGTCTAGATCGATTCGGCTACTTCTGCTGATCAAGAATATATATGATATATAGGGTCGGAAATGATTTCTTCACAGAGTAACAAGCTTCTGACTAAAATTATACTACCCAGGAAAAGTATAAAAATTTGTTGCTACGGATGTTTCAATACTAAATTCCTCTTTATTATTATTTTTATTATTTAAAATATGCTACCATATGTTAGATAATGATATCAATATTTGGTAAAATTGGTAAACAATAACCTGCCGTGAGCAATTTTCTAATAATACATTCGTGTTTAGAGTTAAAAAGTTACAAGAAAAGTTACAAAAGTTTTACAAGAAATAAAGACTACAATTTGTCTTATTTTCTAGACACAAATTTGTGTATATGTAAATTCAATAAAATATTAAAGCACTTTTCTTAAAATTTTCTACGATTTTTCTCTTTAAAAAGTCTAATACTCACACACATGTGTCATCAAGAAAAAAAAAACTTCGGTTTTTGGTGACTGGAAAATCGCAATCGAAATTGGGGGAAGACCTCCCATGAACTTTCGACGCGTCTCCCACACGGCGGTTAAATAAAATTTCGCGTCCCTATGGCCAAAAGTACCGTTAGCATTGCACAATTGAAATGCAGTTAAGAAAAAATAAAATGAAAAATAAAAAATAAAGAAGAAAAGTGCAGCCGAGTGTGGGCCTGGCTTTTTCTTATTTCTTATATTTTTTGTATATTATTTTTTAGGCCTGACTCTGGCTGGCCTGGCGGCCTGCCAATCGGTCCAAAACGATCAATTGGCAGAGAGACCCCCATAAAATGTTCCCAACTGTCTCTCCGGTCTGTCTTTTTGGCCTTTCTGTCCAATATTCGGTCGCTGTCGTCTGACTGACTCTCGGTTTGCAGAGCTGATTTACGAGCTCGCCACGGGCCGTTGTGTAACGCATGCGATTCAGAATTTTTAAATGCCAAGCTCTGACCAGCAGCAGAAGCCAAGTGCATTGGAAGAAATTAAATTTTAAATGAAAAATTATATAAAAAAAATCTAGGAAAAAATTCTAGATCTTAAATATATTTTTAAGCTAGTTTAAAGGGTTAGAATACTAAATTTTGACCGTAAAAGGTTTCTAGATTCACAGTCCATGATGCTGTCATTGTTCCCTCTTCGTTCTTTTAATAAATAGTTAATTATGTTGTAGTTAATTATTATTATGGAATAAATAACCCACTAAATCACTTAGTTATCCATTATTTTGCACTGTGTATAGTAAAGAGTCTGTTGAGAGACCCCTTGCTGTTGTTTTTTTTTTTTTTTTGTCGGTATTGGGCTGTCGCCAAGTCTCGACGGTGGCGGCGACATTTTAATCAGAAAACTCAATCGAACGCACGCATGCGCAATAAAAACAAAAATAAAATCAAACCTATAAAATCAACAGGCACAAGAGTCAGTCTTTAACCGTTTCACTTACAGGCTGGAAAAAATAAAAATAAAATAAATACGAATAAATAGACAGAGATATAGAGACATATGCCGGCCGGTTTGAAGGCGTTCGGAGTTGTTCTTCCGTTTGACAAAGTTCATCTAACCTTAGCCCCTATGCGAATTTCAATTCGATTTGCTGGGAATTTATTGACATTCATGTGGGTTAAAGCTTGAGAATTGATTTTTTGGTTAAAGATAAGAGAAGAGGAAATGGGGAAATTAAGATAATTTATTAAAGATATGATGCTTTAACAATAACAAGAAATAAAGCCAAGACTTTTACAGCTTATAATTGAATTAAAGCATCGAGTATCAATCATAATTAAACTTAAAATTTATCGACATTTATATATATTTTTTGGAAAATTAAACTTTATTTTTTACTTCCTACGTTAGTTTTTATTAGGTTAATTAAAATTTAAAGTAAAAGAATATAAATTTATAAGTCAGGATTAATTAAGTTTTTATGTCTCTTTTTATTCACAAAATTTACCAGAAACGAAAGGTAAACAAAGGCTGTGCTTTACTACGTTTCAAATGATAAAATGAACAGTTAAAAGAGTGGGTCATATTCACAATGTGTATTATATTTATAAAGTTGATCTCCCGCTCTTAAGTTCTACTTTACAGAAAAAAACCAAACATATTCAGATTCAAGAGAGGGGAGAAATGAGCTTGCAAAGACAAACAAAGACAAAGATAATAGAGCAAGCAATACTTTTGTTTCACTCACCCATTGACATTAGTTGAATGAATGAATTCACCTAACGGTGAATTAGTGGACAAAATACAACAAAAACCAGTCTTAATTGAAGGTTTAGCGCACTTTTAAATGTTGTCTTTCTATCGTCACTAATACATTTCACTTCACTTCAGTTTAAATACAACTTTTGACACCTGTCTTTGCTTTTGCCTCGCAAGTTTTTCACCTTTTTCATTCACCGATCTGCTTTGTGGGAGGAACTGATTTGTAATGATTAGCGAGAGAAGTTGCGGTGGAGGTCACTCCGAGAGAATGAGAGAATGAGAGAGGGAGGAAATGCAAACATGATGTCCACTTCCAAAAAGCTTTAAGTTTCGAGCCAAAGCTGGAAATACGATCCAATATGCTTTTACTATAACTTATACATCATAATTTGTCTAAGTACAAAATAAATATTAAATAAATATGAAATAGGTTTAAATTTAAATTAAAAAACAACAAAATTACAATTCTGATCTATTAATTTCTTGATTCCCATTACATTTTCCCATATCCAAATATCAAAGCTACATATATCCATGTCTTTAACAAAAGTGATACATTTTCGACTTTAACAGGGAAAATAAATGTTTATAGGCTCGGCTCCCCCAATTCCATAATAGAACCGAAACTGAAGATAAATAATGTGGAAACATTCGGGGAATGGCCAAAGTGTGGTGTGAGCAATAAATTCGAATATGTAAATAATTGCTGGCAATTTTTGGCGCGCCACTGCGAAATTAATTAAAACATTCGCTTGTGCAGGCCATATGTGTGTTGGCCAATAACAAAAACAAATGGAGTTAAGTCCACAAGCACAGGCATATTGCAAAATTTATGACAATTTAAATGGCACACATTTGGTGGACAATTTAAAGCGATTATCGCAGAAATTTTCGCACATTTGGACTCAAGCAGTCAGCTGGCTTTGGTTTTTATTTGCTTTTCTTGTAAAAAAATGATTGGGAAATTGTTTTGGGGTGCGCCGCAAGTTGGTAAGAAAATAAGACCAGATTAGTCAGATACTTTTCCAGGGAGGAAAAGCCATAGACTTTACGTATTTTAATGATTTATATAGAAACAAGAAATAAAGTTAACTTCGGCACGCCGAAGTCTATATACCCTTGCAGATAGAACTTGTATGACTAGGAATCCCTACAATATAAATTATATATATATGTATTTATGATTAAAAACAATGAAGTAACACCTGTTTTCATTTCATTGACCTAAACATATTATATTCGCAGTTCACAGATTTGCATTTTTCCTCTACATCAAACGATCGTTTGTATGGCACAGTCGTCCGATTTTCATGAAATTTTACACAAAATTTAAGACTAATATAAAATGGCTATACCTCAAACTTGATAAAAATCTGTTGAAAACTGAAAATGTTATAATATTTTTTGTTAAAATTTTCCGGTCATTCCAATGGCAGCTATATGATATAGTCGTCCGTTCCGACATATATACGAGGGAGAGTACATAGAAGGCTAACTACAAAGTTTCATTCAGATAGCTTCAAAACTGAGAGACTAGTTGACGTAGAAACGGACAGATGGACAGACGGACATGGCTAGATCGACTCGGCTGTTGATCCTGATCAAGAATATATATACTTTATATAGTCGGAGGTGCCTCCTTCACTGCGTTGCAAACTTCTGACTGAAATTATAATACCCTGCAAGGGTATAAAAAAAGAAAAGGAAACAAACAAGGAAAAAAAAATCCTAAATAGGCTTATATTAGCAAGCTTAAAATCCATATTTTTTGAGCGGGTTGCTTGAAATATGTTAACTTTCTGTTATTTAAAAGCATACCAATTCATAAAAATTTCCTTTCCAAATATAGATCAACTTATTTTAATATATATTTTATATTGAGCAGTTTCGATCATCACCATTGTTGTGTTCTTTGTTTAGTAAGTTGTGCTGAACAAACTATTTTCGGGAGTTAAGTATACTTTACTATAAACAAATAAATGACACCATATCCCCGCTCGTCATGATCATCACGGCTCTTAAAGAGAGCTTGGAAGACTTTTCGAGATCAATAATAAGCAAGTCTGCACGGCCAAGGGGATAGTAATTAAACAATAATTTAATATAAACCATATTTTCATGTATCTTGACTTTTGTGGGCCATGTTTTGGTTTCAATTATCAAGAGATACTTTATTAACGTCTTACCTTAATTAAGAAAACTATAATTTTTATGGTTGCCACATCCACTTGATCAAAGTCTATCAACCACCAAGAACTAGATTAGTAATTTATATAAAAAACACACAAAAAGAAGAAGAAGAAAACTAAACTTCCTCTAGCTAGGGCCTTGCTTAAGTATAAGACTTGAGAATCGCAGAGGAGAGCGCTCTATGTACCAAATAGTTAAACAAAGACTATCTTTCAGTCGAAAGCTTGAAACTTAGTGAAGGAGTTATTTCCGATCCTATTATTCATATATATTCTTGATCAGCATCAACAGCCGACTTGATCTAGCCATGGTTGCCACATCCACTTGATCAAAGTCTATCAACCACCAAGCACTAGATTAGTAATTTATATAAAAAACACACAAAAAGAAGAAGAAGAAAACTAAACTTCCTCTAACTAGAGCCTTGCTTAAGTATAAGACTTGAGAATCGCAGAGGAGAGCGCTCTCTGTACCAAATAGTTAAGCAAAGACTATCTTTCAGTCGAAAGCTTGAAACTTAGTGAAGGAGTTATTTCCGATCCTATTATTCATATATATTCTTGATCAGCATCAACAGCCGACTTGATCTAGCCATGGATGCCACATCCACTTGATCAAAGTCTATCTACCACCAAGCACTAAATTAGTAATTTACATAAAAGAAGAAGAAGAAAACTAAACTTCCTCTAGCAAGAGCCTTGCTTAAGTGTAAGACTTGAGAATCGCAGAGGAGAGCGCTCCATGCACCAAATAGTTAAACAAAGCCTATCTTTTAGTCGAAAGCTTGAAACTTAGTAAAGGAGTCATTTCCGATCCTATTATTCATATATATTCTTGATCAGCATTAACAGCCGAATTGATCTAGCCAGGTCCGGCATAAATTTAATTTTTGTTTTTCAAAATTTTTGAAAACTTTAAATTTTGATAAAGGGTATCGTTAAAACGGTAAAAAATTGACGAACATTTTAATTTTTTTTAATTTTAAATTGAGTATGCAGATTTGCTACCCTAATAAAAACTGCAATTAATGCATTTTTGGCTTAGTTATGATATAAGCTTTCACTGGGAACTTGTGATTTTAGAGTCGTAGAATTCATTATTTTAAGTTAATGTTTCGTAAATATCCATTAATATATACTATCCTATATAGAGAACTTATTTTTATAGATTTATTATGGCCTTAGTTTAGGCCTTCGTTAACAAATTTTATATGTAGAAAGATTTCTAATGCTTTCTATATATAAAACTCACTTCTATATTTTTCGAAAAATAGCTCATTTCATTTTTTGATTTTTCTATATCTCTAACTTGTCTATTATTTATTTTCCCCAAATCTTACAGAGCCACAGCAGTCGGTGCGTCCTCATGACAAAGTCAAGAAGTTAACTAAAATGCAGTGCAATGGCAATACAAATCAAAACAACATGACAGGCGATGTGAAGAGTGCAATTAGCTGTGGCAGCAACAGCAGCAGCAGCAACAGCAGCAGCAGCAGCAACGCACAGCAGCAACATCAAACGCTTATCAACGGCAAGGCGACTGTGCCGCCAGCAACAGGAGGAGTTGCTGTTGCAGCAACATCCGCGGCACCAGCAACAACAACAACAACAACATGCGGCACGTCAGCAATCCACGACGCCACTGACGCGACGCGCTACAAATCGGGATTAAGTGATGCGGCGGCCAGCGGAGACGTTGATGGCCGGCCGACTACACCAGCCGCCGCTCCGAGCGTTTTTAGCACCGGTTGTGCAACGATGCCGCGAACTCGCCAATACGGAAGCATTGCAACTGCAACAGGAGCAACATCGGTTGCATCCACAGGAGCAAATGCAGCCAACACCATGACAGCTGATAAGAAATTCTTGGGACAGACGTCCGCTGTTCCTCATCATCATCTTCATCATCCGCATCATCCGCATCATCCGCATCATCATCATAAGCTGCAATTTGTCGATAAGGCCGACTCCGAACTGGCCGCCTTGGACAATCTGGATTTGGCTCATAGCCTAGACCTGTTGGATGTCGATGGTGAGGATCCATATGGAGCCCTGCAGGACTATTTGGAACGTGTCAAGGTGAGTCTATGGGAAACACTATACCCTTTCGATCCCATTAAATGGGAGGGAAGAAGAATTAAGCTATGCTCTACTTGTTGTCTCAGTTTGTTAAATGACATTATTCAATTTCTGGCATTTTCATTTGTTTAATAAATAGCAATTTTCTGTTTTTTCACAGAAACACAATAAACTGTGAGAAAAAATTAATTAAAATTAGCCAGGAAATAATATTTGCGACTATTCAAAGCATTTTATTAGCAATAAGCTAATTTTACTCCAAATAATAAGTTCTTTCGAGACTTCAGTTTACCACAAATGATTTTTCAAGTATTATTTTTATATGGTATTGTATTTTTCTAACTTTCCTAAACTTTTTGCACCTTTTCTCTTTGTGTAATTTTACTCAACTGCGGTCCTGGGACCCAGCGTAGTGGCAAGTCTTTCAATGAAACCCCCGTTTCCCCTACTGTCAACACGGTGTGATTTTGCAAATGATTATTTTGCGTGACAGAAAAATGTGTTAAGGCAAACAACAACATACACCACAAGCACACACACTCCCATACTACACACTCACACCCCTCTCTCGTCTAGTTCAGCTGTAATATGTAACGCATACGCAGTGTTGCACGCCCGACTTTTCCGTTTTTCTTGCCGCTTTGGCTGTCGTTAGAGTTGTCAGCATAGTCGCAGTCGCAGTCGCAGTCATCGTCAGCGGTCGTGTACATAAAATTTTATGTTTCTGTACCGGAAAGCGCAATATTACACATACACATCAACGATGACGGCAACGTCAATGGCCGGCAGCTTTAGTTTTCTGTATTTTCATCGACTTTTTTCCTTCGCTCTTTGTCTTCTTTTTTGTTTTTTATAACTGTTTCGCATGAATTTTTCTTCATAGCCGGATAATATTTGAGTTTTTTTTATGATTATTATTTTGTTTATTTGTTGCTCAAGGCGGAAGCCATGCACGCACGCGCTTTTAGCCTGGCCTATGCGTTTATGGTTCTTTCAGCGGTCAGTGGTCGGCTAAGCTCCATTAAACATTAAACATTAAACTCTGCAGGCTGAAAGTTGAGGGGAAAAACACACACATATTTTCCACTTTCATAAGGAATTTTGTATCTATCTATCTATTTTTATGTTAATTGGGGCACTAAAAACTGCAAAAATGTAAGTTTTTGCTCTTTACATAAAGTTTATTAAGTCTATTTATGGATTTTCTTTCATATCGATTAAGTCTGTTAGAAAATCGCTGTGGGATTTTATGGTCTTGTTGATCATGCAAAATTTAAAGCAAAAAAGGAGTTTCTCCATATTTTTTTATGTCATTCAGTTTTTTGCCATTAAGGTTACTAAGATAACTACTACTAAATGCGTTTAATAGTTGACTAGCTTTCTCTGCACTTAAAGAAAAACCCAACACAGAACACTTAATATGATTACTAATTTATAAAAAAATTTAGGAAATAAAAGGTACTTGAGCTCCCATTAAATTTTTTCCAATTTAAACTCAAATTAAACTATCTTTCTTTCATAAAATCTTTAATTTTATTCAATTTTTTTTCTGTGTACCCAGATTTTTCCGCTGCATTTGCCAAGCTCTAGATAAAAAATAAACTTCACAACTTAAAGTGTTTTTCGCACCGCTTTTTCTGCCAGAAAGTAAAGCACCCACAAATCGCGGGCAAATCGCTGGCGATTTAACTGCGTTTCTTAACGCTCCAAAATCAGAGCAAGGCGTTTTTATCGCCGCTGATCAACTGGGATGGCTTTATGGCCATATAAATGTGGCACGCCATGTGCCATGTGCTGCATATGCCTTGTGCTGCATTTTATAATCAGTGTCATCACCTCAACACCCATAGACGCCCCTTTTTTTCTCTTTCGTCTAGAGAGCCTCAACTAAACCTAGTTTGGCTTAGTTTCTATGGCAATGGCGTGGGCTGTCAGCTTATGGCCTTACACCGCGGTTATTAACGCCTTTTTACATATTTCTCCCTCCTCTCCCCGCTCTTCTTTCCCAGTAAAATATATATATACAACTAATTTTTTGGCTAAATTGAAATTATTAGCCGGCAACTGTGCCTAATGATGACAAAACGTGTCACAGCTCTCGGCCCACGCAGCTTTCTTTGAGCGAGGATTGAGGAGGGTTGGTGGCAAGAGAGGTTGCCTGCTGCCATTGTGCACATTTATTATGACAAATAGTGCAGCGCTTTTTTTGCCGGCTGGAAATTGCCGTTACTCGCTAAGACGGCTAAGACGCTTGTCGCTTAGCCTTAGGCTTAATTTGCCTACACAGGTCCAAAAAATAGGGTCGTTAAAGGGTGAACAAGTTGGGTTAATTTTGATGATTTGCCATGAAAAGTGGGTTAAAAGAATTGTAGGGGAAATGATTAAAAAATAAATAAGAAATATATAGTTAAATATTAAAGAATGTTTAATAATAATTTATACTCAAAGAGAAGATAATGTGAAAAACGAGGGATGAATATCGAATATCACTCTAAATAACATATTGAAAATTTTGTAAAATGTTATGTATTCCATTTTCAACTTTCGTATAATATTGCTTTAAATTTTCTAATATCTATTTTAAGAAAGAATATCAGAAAAAGTTCTCCCACTTATTTGTAGATTTTATTTGTTCAATATATCAAACAAAATATTGATTTATCGCTCAATATGGCAGCGATAAAATATCGATAAACTTTCGATATATCCCTCAATACGTTTATCTTATTGAAACCATGGTTTTTTTTAATAGATATTAATGAAAGGAAGCTCCTCTTATGCAAGAAATATAATAAATAGTTTAAATTAATAATATGATAAGGAATGAAACCTAAAGACACCTGGAATAGACTTAATACAATTAAAACCTAATCAGGAATGGCTTTCCCTATTTATTTATTGTACATTTCTTTTCTAGTGTAGGTTATGAAATGCGTTAGTGGAGGCGGTAATCACCGCCTGACCCATTTTAAGACGACGCACCAAAACGAAACGAAGCGAATTCATGACAGGCGCAACTCGTTTTTAGCGACGCGCTTCCTGCATCAATTAGCGCTGGCTTTTGCACAGATTTTCCATAATTTTACATGGACAAGCTTTAGTTAAGGCTATGCCCGGCTGGGGCAGAGTTTTTCCCGTTTAAGCGGCCATTAATTGGCGCTCGTCAACATCGGTACCAACGACACAACGATTGTGCGGTGGCTAAGCAGTAGGCTTAATGCATCAATCAAGCTTTCAGCGTCAAAACGTGTATAAATATTGCTTTTTTCTCCTCTTATTTTGCTTGAAATCTGATAAATTACAGGCGACGCGACTGGGTTTGCGTGTGTTCTCAAACGATTTTAATTATAGATATGAAAGAAAAAATATAAGCTGGGAAATTGAGACGTAAGACTGCGCCCAGGGATTGTTTCTTTTTCGGGGGCTTTAGTTTTTCGTCGAACTTTGTTGGTGGTTCGATGAACCCAGAGCAAAAAATAAAGGTATCTGCTTCAGCCAATTATGCGAATGCTGTTAATGAATGTGGGCGACGACTCGCCTTTGGGTTTATCTATATGGCTTTATGCAATGGCTCTGTCACTCGCCGAATGCGAATGCGACTGCGCAGCAGCAGGAGCAGCAGCTGCCTAGAGAAAGTTGTCTTTGCCCAATTTGCAAATGACGTTTTTTTGTCAACGTCAAGCGGGGCAAACGGGCCAAAACACAAAGCAAAAAAACAAATGGCAATAAAAGGCAGCGCCTGACTGCACGTTACTATTTTCGTCAACCGGGAGTTGATCCTCAACAAAAACAAAGAAATCCTCTAGCACAGCAAGAAAAAGTCAAGCAATCATGGTTTTATAAAGCCAATACATATTTCTTAAAGATATTAAAAACTCGTTTCAACAAGATACTGCCAGGAAGAGCAGAAAGTTATAATAGATCACCAACAAGAACGGAAAATAACGTCGGGAAGTTAAAATATATATCGGAAACTGATTGATATTTATCGATATTTTTATGAAAATTTTTTTTGGCCAAATCAAAGTATAAAAATCCCATACCTAAGCCAAAAATGCATTAATTTTATTAAAGAAAGCATTCCTATCCTAGTTTTTATCAGGATAATAAATTTGCATACTCAATTTAATATTTAAAAAACTTAAAATTTTTGCTAATTTTTTTGACCGTTTTAGGGATGTAAAATCCTAAAAAATTTGTACAACATTTTTATTGTTTTTTTTTTTTTGCCGAAATTAGCTAGTTCGATTCGGTTTTTGATGCTGATCAAGAATATATATGATATATAGGGTCGGAAATGACTTCTTCCAAAATGATCGTTAAGTTTATCGCAAATAATTTGCTACAAATATCGATATTGTTACTCTATATCGATATGGTCTGATGACAAAAACTTCTCTGTTTTCTTTGACTTATGATAATTGTATTTAATAAATTTATTTAAAGAAAAAGAAACGTGATCCCCAAAAGCGAGGTTTTCCACCCACAAACTGATGACTATCTCAGGCTTCTTAAGAAAAACTGTATAAGCTAAATATAAGCTAAAATAATACTTTTTAAACCGAAATCAATAATTTTTCCTACTGTAAAACCAGACTCAGAAATCGAACGTTCACAGTGGGAGAAGTTTTGATACAAAAGTGAAGCCTGTTCGAATGCAAGGAAAAAGGGGGAGTGAGTTTAGACTTCTACAATTTCACCGGCAGCAATCATAATTGCAGACAGCAATTAAGCCGCTGTCACTGGCTGCCAGCTACTCATGCTGATCGCGTTACAAATGCAATTGCAAAGTTACAGTTTGCCGGCGATGCAAAGTTGCAACTGCTGCTGCCGCATTGCATGTTGCAAGTTGTCAACGGATCGCTGACAATGCGTTGATATTTTCCGACAAGCAAATAAGCAGCTACAAAAAGGCCTTGCCACAGAAATTGAGCCAATTTGCTGACGCCAAAAGCTCACAAGTTGCGGGGGAATCCGCAGCAAAAACCCGAGAGGACTTTCTTTTTCTCTCCATTTTTATTTTTATTTTGATTTTATTTTATTTTCATGTTTGCCACATGGGACACTTTTGGTTTTTTGGCGTTTTGAAAGCGCACAAGGCCAATGGAATTTGATTTGTACAATCCTCACTCCAGTGACACATTTGGTTCAATAGACTTGCGTGGGAGCAATGATCTTTCTTCACTCTTTTTACTCTCTTTTTTTTTGCGAGAAGAGTGTTGGAAATACAAGGAAATATAAAAAGGAAACATAAATATATTTTGTAAGCTTTTTAGGTGTAAATTTATGAGTAAAAATTAAAAAGAAAAACCATAGAACCTTACATTATAAAAAATAATGCAACCCCAAGATTTCTTGTAAACTTTAAAATTTTATATTATTTAAGTACAAAATATAAGAAAAGAATTTCTTAAAAATCAAAATGTTCTTAAAGAACTTAAAACATCATTTAAGTTTATATAAAACCCTGAATAAAAGCATCCATTTGTTCTTAAAACTTAGCAAACTCTACCAATTTGACAACACACAAATTTTGATTTGCCAATAAAAAGCTTAACCACTTAAAAAGTTTTGAAAAATATTTAAAGTAACAAGAGAACGCGCTAACCATGATGTGCTTCTGTGGGATTTCCTCTGAAGCTGTCACATCTGTTTAGCACTAAGCTCACCTAACTCAAAAAAATAAAAAACGCGAACAAACTACCTTTTCAAAGTTATTTTCTCGAGTTTTTCCCCTCCTTGTAAAGCTGCTGCACGTGAGCTGTGAGCTGCGATTGACCACTTCAAGTGTCATTGCCCAGAGAGAAGAGAGTTGAACAAATGGAAAACATATTTTTGGACTGCTGCCTGCATTCTTCTAACCAAACATAGATATATATTTATATATATATGCATACTGGCTTCTCCATGTGAAGTGCCATTGAAATTTATAATGATCTTCAGGGGATTTTGGACTGAACGTCAGGCTACCAACCAGAAAAAGAAGAGAAAAAGCCAAAAAGTCGTTGGTATTATTTAACCAATTTGTTGTTGTTTTTGTTGTTGTTGCTGGCGATGACCTTCAATGGTCATTTGTTGAAAAACAAAAAGGCAAGCTGGCTGGTCCGATGGCTTACCAAATATTTTGACGTTGATATGTCGATGCTGTGTTGTGCTGTGGTCAATGTCAATGTCAGAAATGGTTTGAAGTGGAAAAAATCCGTTGGCTCCCTTATAATTTTTCTTCAATTTTTTATAATTTTTAATAAGCCAAAACCCTAGCGTGATTGATGTACATTTTGGAGGGGATTACAGAGCCCTTGGCTTGGGAGTTTGAGTCTGACCTTAGCTAGCATCTGTGTTTGATGTTTGCTCGGTTGTTCTACAATATCTGGGGAGCATATCGCATCTGTGGCATCACAAACTTGAACTGCGTGCCACACCCGCCTGTCTGCAGCTGTGGCACCAATATCCCCGTCTAGACCTGGCACAATGCTGATTGCATTTACCGATAAATTAACCAATGAATACAATTAAAATAAGGCAATACTCGAGGACAGCAAGGCAAGGTACATACATAAAGCCAAGGGCAGAACACAGGAAGAAATATGTATTGAAGTTGAGTTGGTCAATGGGTTAAGGGGTTTTGAGAAGGAATAATATCCTTCTCAACAAGTACCCTGTTTCTCTGAGTGCCATTCTAGAAAGGCCTCTACCAAGGGCATCCGACCAAGTGTAACCTTCAATTCGCCACAATACAATTCCAATTCCGATTCGATTCGATTCGATTTCTCTCTCAAAATCAATTGCATGCTTTACTTTTATTGTGTGCTATAGTTCTCTCTACATGTTTTTGCCCCCAGGAAGCCAGAGAAGCGAATAAAAACCTAAACCGAATATCGCCCCGCCGCATTTAAATGTTCAAATTGTCCAAATCAGTGTCCATGTCCGAAGTTTACCAATGGATTAGCTAGAGTGTGCGATTGCGTTAATTGTGTCTTGTGGGCAAAGATCTCCTTAGGCGTTCGCCACCAACGCCAGACGTTGTCCAAGGAGCCAAGGAGCCCGAAGAGGAGGATGTTTTCACCTGCTGGCGCATGTGATTGGGATTGCCAATGAAGCGGACATGTTGTTGGGGCAACATCAGCAATTGCTGTTGCTGCAACTGCTGTTGCTGATGATCGGCACTTGACATTGATCTTGTTGGGTGCAATCTATTAGCGGCCAGTCGCCAAGAAGAAGAAGAAGGAGCCAGTGCATCCTCCATTGACAGTGATGGCCTGACTGATTGATCGTAACCATTAATTTTATGCGTTGACATTCTTTGCGGCCTGTTGTTGTCATCCCCCAGAAGCGTTTGCCGCGATTCGGTACAAACGGATCGTCAACATTATAGAGATCCCGGAGCTGTAGCTTCTTGCCCCGGGTGGCAAAGAAGGGATCGTCTGCTATGGACAGCAGGTTGCGATGCTTTTTACCACGATGCGGAAAGAAGAGGTCATCATACTTGAATAGATCCTTGACCTTGTCGCGTTTTCCACGATTTGGTACAAAGGGTTCATAGCGATTCATCAAGGCGTCCAGATCCGGAGAGTTGTGCTTGCGACCACGGGGGGTATAAAGGGATCACTTTCCTGACTAACCTCATCTGGAAATTAAAAAAATAAAGGATTTTAGAAACTTAATTGAAATGAAAACTTAATATTTATAGACTCACCTCCCCATTGATAGCCATCGAATAGCTTCTCCCTGCGCACTAACACATACTGTGGCTCATCTACAATAAGTGGAGGTTCCAAATGACCAGATAGATTTAGTTTCTTCCAAAGAAACATGCCTGGATAATAGTTTTCCGCTGCTCCATCACTCAAATTACCAGGAGAACGTTGCATAGGATATAGAAGTTGCATGGCCCAGTGTAAAAACTTGATGAGATCCTGTTCACCCGTCAAAAGCATAAAGACCTCATTGCTGGTCTCATCCTCATCATCATCCGTGTCATTCTCCTCGGAATCGGAGGAATTATTCTCAGAATCCGAATCCTGCATGGAACTCAGTTGCAAGTGTAGGCGTGCAAGGGCCTCTTTGTTCCTAAAAATATTATTTATAAGGTTTTTTTTTGCTCGATTTCTATAGTGTGATTAATGTCCCATCATTTGTTCACTTTAAGGAGCAGCACATTTTCACATTTTTCTCTTTTTTCGTGAGAAGAGCGTGGGCAGAGACCATGAGTTTCAATTACATGTTTAAAGCTGAAGTTTCTCTTTTTTTTTGGGGGAGAAAAACAAGAGACGACACCACTTAATTGATGAACTTCTTTTCTATGGCTCCCACTCGAAACATCTCTGAGACATGTGACCCAGAAAATTGCCTTAACTCTTTGGAGCTGTCAGGGCTGATCCAATTCAATCAAATGACACACAATTTAAGCCAATTCTTCAATACAAAAATTACTCTGTGTAAAATTACACATTAAGCAAAAGTTATTGAAAGTTATGCGGGTCTCCTCGGTGGCCAATTAATCAAACATTTAACAAATCAACAAAAGGCAAACCAAACAAACACAAAAAAAATAATAATTATTACAGCCAGAGATATGATTAATTCGATTTTAATAGCAGCGCCCAATAATTTTTCAACAAAAGATAATATTCCACACACTAATTACAAGCCGCAGCGGAAGAAAGAAATGGCTTTTTTTGTTTTTGTTTTTAAATAAAACAAAAGAGGAGTGAAAAAAATATATAAAAATATGCGAACAAAGTCTGGCATGAAAAGTGAAACTCGTAATGCAGTTTTCGTTTCGATTTCGTTGCGGGCCAATGAATTTGCTGACAGTTGTTATTTTATAAAATAAATCAACATACGTTGGCGAGCGGCCTCCTCCTGGCACTGACTTGAAACAAAACTGCAATCCGTTCGTACTGATTTTTTCACGCCCATTAATTGGTTTTGCGTGTTCCCAGACGACAGCCAAATTGTCGACGATTTGTTGCCGCTCTTGCGGGCTTAACCTTTATTTTTTTCCAGTCGTTTTCTTATATTTTTTTTTTTTTGGCAATATCTGGCGCCCTGAGAAGGGTTACGATTAACCCTTTGAGTACCGGGTTTAGTTTGGAATTAAATCAGAGTTAAGGGTCTCTGAGAGAGTTAATATTGTTTAACTTATTTGCATATTTGACAAGATGGAATTGAGTTTTCTTCCTTTTTCCCTATCTGCCTGCAATGTACAAGCAAATGAACAGAAATAGCTTATAAGTTATGTTCAGTAGCGAACGATATAGAGATCTTTAGCTGCATACTATGAAAACTTCTCATTTTTCTGTTCTATTTCAATTAAATTACAATTACTCTGAGATAGATTTTATCTAGATTTCTATATATTTATTCTAAGAAGCGGAACCAAAATATTATTCACTTTAAAGTAAACATATAAAATATCAATATGAAAACTATTTCTATGCCTTTTTCATGATTTTCATTTTGAACCTTGTATTTAGTTGGATAAAAAACCTTTTAAGGCCTTTCAAATATTACCGAAATTACTCTGAGATAGATTTTATCTAGATTTCTATATATTTATTCTAAGAAGCGGAACCAAAATATTATTCAGTTTAAAGTAAACATATAAAATATCAATATGAAAACTATTTCTATGCCTTTTTCATGATTTTCATTTTGAACCTTGTATTTAATTGGATAAAAAACCTTTTAAGGCCTTTCAAATATTACCGAAAATTTTATCAATGGGTTAAAATTCGAACTTTGTCTGATAAATTGGTTTACATGGCAAGCGGAAACGAGGCGCGAAACTTTCTCAACTTTCCTCCTGTGCAGCCTTGAACCCGCCCGTCATTATATTCCCCCATCCTCTGGCATCTCCTTCTCTTGTACCTCCGATGACCACCCACATCCTGACTTTCAACCTGAACTTCTCACCTGGCGGCCAGCATGGTGCGATAATACTCCTGCGGACACTTGGCGGATGCACCAGCTCGACCCTGGCACCGGTTGTTCCAATAGCGTTGAGAAGGTGTGGCACTAAAGCCACCAACACCAAAGCCCAATTCTGGTACAATTTCCTGCGGCGCTGATTGTCGGTCCCCTAAATCATCTGCATTTCGATTAAAATCCTCAGACATTGTCCGCGATTCCAAATTCACTGCTGGAGAGTTGGGCAGCATGTCGAACAGGACGCGTGCATCCTTTTTCTGTTGCGGCAATTGCAGGGATTGCTGCAACGGCGACTGCTGCTCCTGCTGCTGCTGCTGTTGGCTCAAGGCCGCCTTCGTGGCCGTGGCGATAAGCGATGGTGGCAGAGATAGGACCACATTGCCATGGCCATGGCCACCGCCGCAATAAATCGCCAGGCAGACGCTGAGCCAGGCCAACGTGAGTCTCATGCTGTCTGCTGTTGCTCCTTCTGCAAGTCAGTGCCAGACTTTAAGCGGCAACGAGGCTGTTCCAATTTTTATTTCTCCTACTCCAGCTCCTGCTCCTGCTCCTGCTGCTGATGCTGCCTTGTCGGCCACTTTGATGCAGCGATACAGGCAAGAAACCAAAACCAGCTAACAGCCAAGCCAAGCCGGCGGCAACCGCTGCGTTTTTTGCCTCTTAGAAAAACGGTGAGACTGAAACTGAAAGTTGCTGGCAAGCGGACCAGCTTTTTATAGCCATCCAGTTGGATGGATGGTGATGACGATGAGAGCGATGGGGATGTGGATGTGGATGTGGATGTGGATGGGGATCCTCAGTGGATGCTGTGAAGGAGCTGCCCGCGGAGTTTTGGGAATACGCCTGCTGGTCGCGGGACCAAAAGACCCTTGGTCACACATATGACAGCACAGAGAAAAATAAGTACTTTTTAGGGGGTTCATTTGAAGAAGTAATAAAGAGCGGGAAGAAATACTTAAACATTTTTAGAAAGATCGTAAAAATGTTCTTACTTTTTAAGGAAATATTCTTGTCCGTAGGATAAAGTACTGATCTTTTGCTTACAAAAGTATTTATAAATTTCTTGAACTCCTATATTTGTTATAATTCTTAATAATCATAAGTAAAACAAGGTTTCTAAAGACTTATTTGACTTTCCATAGAAACAAAAGCGTGAGAAATACAATTGTTATTCAAAAGTAATTACTTTAAACTGAATTTCTAGGATACTTTTTAAAACAATATCCTAGAATATACATAGAAATATGCTTATAAGACTTATAATTTGTAGCTCACAACAAATCATATGAATTATGACACAATTCCCTTATACAAGTACCTCCCATTTTCCCCCAGTGATTCCTATTTGATTCCACAGCAATGCCAATTGTTTGTCCAGAGCATCAAAGCATGAAATTAATAAAAAGCAATTGCATTTATATGACGACGAACTGGGAAATAAGCAGAGCAGCCCACTTGAGATCACCTCCGGCACAGAGTTACCCCTCATACGTCATAGTTTCTATATAATAAACCATAGAACCAACTCTTTTGTTTGCCCAACCTGTGTGACCTGTGGCCTCCTCCTCCGCCTGCCACAAATTAGCCTCACAACCTGAGAACAACTGAGAAATCTCAGCGGCGATAAAATCGTAGAGTAGCGGCTTTCTTTCAAAGTCCCCCTAAAAAGAAGCTTGGGCTACCTTTTTCCAGAATTTATTGCCTGCTAATGTTCGATCGCATTTGTCTGAGGGCAGGGCAGCAGCCCTAAAGAAAATGGGGTCCAGCAGCAACAAACAAACACAATTGTTGAGTAATGAGCACTGCACGTTATTAATGTCACTGAAGGAATCGAGGGAGGGAGATGCAGGGAGACCTCTGTCTTGGGCCACGATTTTTAATTAAGTAATTCGCTGACTTTGTAAGCCCTGTGGGCTCCATCTGTCTGATCTTCTCCGGGTTCTCTTCCCTTTAGGTTTAGTGTTGTTTTTTTGGGCTTCTTCTCTCATGGTTGTTGTGTTTAATCTGGCTAACAAATTGCTTCATTTCAATTTATTTGCATTCCCCTTCTTTGCGAGTCGTGTTCCTTGTTGCCCAGAGTTCGTGGCTGCAGTTTTCTGTTTTCCACAGCTTCGAGTGTGGAAAAAGGCAAAACCTCGGTTCGGTCGGTCGGTCGTGTTCTAATTTATTTGTCTTTGATTGTGCCCATGTCTCTGCGGGTCTCTCCTTGGTCGTGTCCTGGGCTTTCTTTCTTTTTGTTCCTATTTCTGTTTGCTGTCCCTGTGTTTTGCAGGGGCAAATTAAGCAAACATACATCATAGTCGGGGGGCCATTAGAAGAGGCTGTGGCGCTCTGGGCGCGATTAATAGACCATTGCCTTGATATATGTATGCAATTAGAGTGCTAATCAAAACCTAATCTTAGCGGCAGTCCAGAATTTATGTGTCCTCTATGCAGAGAAGAAAAATAATTACGAAAATGGGAATGAACTTGGTTGGTAATGGGGTTATCAAATAGGTATAGAGATGGATTTCTAGAGCACAATAACAAGTTGGGAATTGTAAAGTAAAAGAAGGAAGGAACAAAGGAACAAATTAAGGGATTTGGAATATGTATTAACTTGGTGTTATATGATAAAATGCAATATCGAAAAGAACAGCATAGAAATAGGTTACATTTTTCGTGTTGAATAATTACTTGAGAATTATTACTTATACTTATACTTATTATATCATAATTAGAGCAACTGGATGTAGTCTTATAAGGATAAGATGAATACACCTCTAGCCAAGAAAACTTCCTAGTTTGTTCTCGCTAAGATATCTACAGAAAGCCAGGAGAAAAACCTTGTTATGGATTAATATTTCTATGTAAAAGAAACTTCTTGAAGGGATTAAGCTACTTCATTCTTGCTGAATAATCAAATGCGACTTCCAAACAAAATTCGATAATACATTATTATGATATTATTTATGTTCTAAGAACATTATCCCCCTATGTTTCTCCAAGTGCTTTCAACTAATACAACTCTCATTCTAATTGCAGCGGGAAATCAACGAGGTCTTCGAGCTGCGCAAGGTCCAGCGCTTGGAGCAACAGCTTCGAGACCAACTGGAAGAGCGACTATCGCAGTCTGGAGTCCAGCAGCTTGATGAATTGTCTCGTTCCACGGAATCAGATAGTGGCTTTGACAGCAGCAGCACCACCACCACAGCAACTGCAACTGCAACATCAACTGCTGCAGCAGCAACAGCAACTGCAACATCAGCAGCAGCAACATTGCCGGGCAAACCAGTGACAACTAAACTAAGGGCATTGTCACCGCCGCCTTTGAGTCCAGTGAAATCCCTGCCTGCTCCTGCTCCTGGCCAACCGGATGATGTCAACATTTGGGCCTGCAAGTTTCTACGTGATCTGGACAGTCTGATGGCCGTCGTTAAGTTGCCACCACATCTGGCCCATCTGGCCGGAGTTGGTGGTTCTACTTCCGGTTCCAATTCCGGCAGCAGTTCACCCATCTCAAGGACAGCTCCCATGCTCCTGTCCGCCGCAGCCACAGCGGCCATTCAGAGTCGTTATGGCAAAGGCTCATCCATCATGGAGCAGCAGCAGCAGAATGGACTTGTCTTGAAGCCAGAGAAACACGTGAGTGTACAGATAATATATATATATTTAAATACTAAGAAAGAGTCTTCTACCATATAAGAATCCCCTTTAAAAATCGCTTACTTCAATTTACATTACAAATGCGGGATTATCCCTGAGAGTATTCATAAATTCTTTAGCTCAGACTGGGATTTCCTAATCTCGGAGCGGAGTCACTGAAATATATTCCCCCATGTAATCTCTCTTCTGCTCCTCAATTTCAACATGCGAGTGAACAAACAACAAGCAAAGCATACTTTATGAATTTGGGTTAGATAAAATGCGCTCAGGAAAGACAAAAGGCATTTAATCTGAATCACAACAATCTTGTCAACATGCACAAGCACCAGCGGAATTTTTTTTTTTTTCGTTGGCCCACACACACTCGGAAAACAGGGTATTTTTTGGGGGGGGAGAGAAAGAAAAGAATGTTCTTTCAAGAACTGCCATATGTTCCAACCATCCATCCATCCATCCATCCATTCGCCGGATGCGCAACTGAAGCGCGTGAAATTTATGGGCAGCAGAAAAGCTGGAAAGTTGGTGAGGGGATCAAGATGGAGATGGAAAATGGAAACCGAGGATGAGGAATGGAGGGCAGGAGGGCCAGACCAGGCCAGGCCAGAACGTTGATAGACAGTCATCACTCGGTGGCTGGCACTTGAACGAGTTAAACTTTGAACTTCTGCTCGAATTTTTGTTTGCATTTTTTTGTTTTGGAGGGGGGAAGGGTGCCTCAACGCCATAAAATGTGTAATAAAATAGTCTAATTAGTGCAGTTCTTGAGCGATAGATTGGTAGACAATTGTAGATTGATTGCCAGGCATTTGGGTCGTAAAAGATTTTCTAATTGCAATCAGAGGCAAGAGCCAAAGTTCACTAGGGAACTGGCTGGCAACTTTTACTCGATGATAAGCCAAAGAAGGAAGTCTTACTGGTTAAGTAAATGCACTTAAAATAATACTTAAGCGTTTAAAGAGAATAATATAATTTTTTATTGAATTAAATATTTTAGATTTGTAAGGTATTACATGTTTGATACAACTGATAGAGAAAAGAACAAATAGCTAACATTGTTGCTTTCTATTATGTTGAGTACAATTATCATTTATATAGAACATTATTTTAAACAAGAAAATAATCTTAAAATATGTGAGCTACCCGAAGCTCTTTTAAAACAAGTTTAAGTAATTCCCAATCACTAAATTTCTCTTAATTCCCAAGCACCTTATTTTCTCCCAGTGCCTTGTGTTTACTCTCTAGCCAAGAGGCTGCAGTGTTTGGCCAACTCAATTGACCCACTTTGTGCAGTCTCTTGAGTGTGTGTGTGCCTATTCAGTCCCATAAACCATAAGACACCGAAACAGACTAACCAACTTGTTAGCTGTCTCCGGCTTATCAAACCAAATATATCTAATTAAAACATTTATAAGCCAAAAGTGCTCATAAACGGCACCAGGCTTGCGGTCTCTCATATTGTTGCATATGCTTAGCATACATTTCGCTTAAACCTCTTGTCTTGGATCTCCTCCTCCGATTATCGGTTGGAAAAACCTCAAAAAAGGCAGCACAGACTTGCTGCAACAAGACAAATATTAATTTTCAAAACGCGTGCCGGGCCGACGTCGGTGGAAAAACACGACATCAACACCGAAAAATGTAAACCAAAAAACCCACAAAAAAGTCTGTCTGAGAGGGAATCTGAGGTGGAAAAGGGCTGAGACTGAGACTGAGGCTTTCATTGTTGTTTTTCGTTGACAACTGGCTATGTTTGCTACCAATCGATATAATGAGTTTCAGTTGCAATATTCCCCAGAGTAAAAAAAAGGCCCAATTCCCTTTTCGCCATTTCATTTTGGTTCTAAAATGTCCAAAGAAGGGTTACAGGAGAGTAAGTTTTCATTGCAAATACACTTGAGGTCAAATAAAGATGACTTTAGAGTTAATAAAGTACTAGAAAATTAAATACAGATCATAAAGTAAGTTAATTGTTTACCTTAAGTCGAACGAAAATGCATTAAAACTTAATTTTAAGTTATGGAAAATGCCTAAACTGACCATAAAAATGTGAAAACATTTAAGACACATTTTTGCCAGTTGTTTTCGTTGAAGAAATAAAAAAAAAGAAAAGTGCCCGGAACTGTCGGAGCTGTCATATTTTGCCTTAATCACCCAAGTAAAAGTGCCAATTAAAAGCGCTTAAGCTGCTCCAGCTGCCGTTGCCCAATGCACTAATTAAGGCAAAGAATGTGGTCAACTCTGACTAACTGACTTACTGACTAACTGACTGTCCCCGTGCAAAACTCAAAACTCTCATTCTCATTCGGTCAATCAGTCAGCGGGACAGAGGACCAAAAGATTTATGAGCTACCAATGGCAGCATAAATCAAAGGCCAGCATCGAGGGCACAAGTGCGTGCTCGGTTTTCAGAAATTTTCTGACAACAAAAAAAAAGCAGAAATACAAAAACTGTCAATGAAAGTATAAAAAGTAAAGGTAGCGAAGAAGTACGAGACAGTTTTCGTTTCGTTACGTTACGTTGGAAAGGAGTGCAAAAGTGAATTGGGTCAATATGCCGCCCTGGAGCGAGGAGAACAACACACACACTCCTCACTTTACTGCACTCCGGCTGTCAACACAGCTCACAGTGCATCACAGACACCCAGCGGAAACCCAAAAAAAACGCCCCAATTTATGGGGATCAGATCCCGGAGATCGCTGTTTCTTCTCCTGCGAAAGTGAATCTTGTGTGTGTGGCAGGCACAGGAACAGGAGGGGCATCATCATCAACATCCAACGCAATGCGCTTAATGATGATGAACCATGCAGATGCTCAAGATGTACAAGATGCTGCACAAGGAGACACTGTGAGAAAATTATTAAAAAAGGAAATTTAAGCAGGAAAATAAAAAAAAGACAAATTTATCAAACAAAATTGTATACTTCATTTAATAAATTAGTTAAAATTTTAGCTAGAAAATTAAGAAATATCAATTTAACTTTAATTTGGACATTCTTTTTTATATATTTAGTTACCTAAATTGACTTGTTAAGGGATCTTTCCTAGCTAGAAAATACTTCTAGTTTAAATATATAATTTATTATAATAAAAAAATATTATAAACATGGTAAAATATTTTAATATCTGATAAAAATGATTTTAGTCTAATGTTTGTATTAATTTTATTAATTTCGGTTTTCTTTCTATTAATTAGTTACTTAAAAAAGAGTTTTCCTAGTGACCTTTCATATCAGAAACATCTTTCAGTTAATGTTGATAAATCTCTATCTTATTCTTTAATTATTTAAAAAATTTATCACCTATTTTCCCAGTGATCTTTTGGGGAGGGAAGCAAGGCTGTTCAGACAAAAGGCCGCGACACACAAAAAGCTTTTGCACGCAGCTCAACGAGACCCCAGACACTTTGACTTAAGTAGAACTTGCAAATCACTGCAAGGCAAACAAACACGATGGACAACAGAGATCCGGGCAGGAGCAGGAGCAGGAGTACGAGCAGGAGGTGGACTCCAGAGCAAGGGGAAAACAGGGTTACCATGAACAATGTCCAGGAGGAGGGACACGATGGGGCTGGTCAGGCGTTTAAGTGTTTTGATTTGATAATTATTATCAGTGCGCATGCGTGACCGCAGGCAGCTTGCTCATTTACTCGAAACCCAGTCCAAGGGGCATGTCCAATCGATTTGCGATAGTCTCCACGGACATGATCGGGGGTATATATAGTTATATATATATAAATGTAGTACCCGGCAACTTTCTGGGTCACATATCAATAAAAGTGGAACGTAGACGAGGCGTTGCCCAGTGCATTTGTCATTTGGCTTATTCAGCCGTTTCGATATCGAAGCCATTGACTCAGTAGTTGTAGAAGTAAACAAACTCTATATATATATATTTATTTTTATACCCTTGCAGGGTATTATAATTTCAGTCAGAAGTTTGCAACGCAGTGAAGGAGGCACCTCCGACTATATAAAGTATATATATTCTTGATCAGGATCAACAGCCGAGTCGATCTAGCCATGTCCGTCTGTCCGTCTGTCCGTCTGTCCGTCTGTCCGTCTGTCCGACTGTCCTTCTGTCCGTCTGTCCGTTTCTACGCAAACTAGTCTCTCAGTTTTGAAGCTATCTGAATGAAACTTTGCAGTTAGCCTTCTATATACTCTCACTCGTATATATGTCGGAACGGGCCGGATCGGACGACTATATCATATAGCTGCCATAGGAATGATCGGAAAATTTTTACAAAAAAAATTTTAACTTTTTCAGTTTTCAATAGAATTGGATCAAATTTGAGATATAGCCATTTTACTATACTCTACAATTTTGCATAAAATTTTATGAAAATCGGACTACTATATCATATAGCTCACATAGGAACGATCGAGAAATTAATACAATTAAATTTATAACCTTTTCAGTTTTAAACTGATTTTCATCAAATTTTAGGTATAGGCATTTTATATTAGTTTTAAATTTTGTGTCAAATTTCATGAAAATCGGACTATTATATCATATAGGTGCCATACAAACGATCGTTTGATGTAGAGGAAAAATGCAAATCTTTGAATGTAAAACTGAAAATATAATATGTATAGGTGAATACAATGAAAGCAGGTATTACTTCATTGTTTTTTAACACAAATATATATCATTTATATTGTATGGTTTTTTATTCATAGAAGTTCTATCTGCAAGGGTATATAAACTTCGGCGTGCCGAAGTTAGCTTCCTTTCTTGTTTATGATCAATTAGAAGCATTTACAGTTCCCCCTCACATGATAACCCAGACAGAGACAGAGAGGAAACCCCATTTTTTATGTGTCATTTTGTGTTCATTTTATTGCATTTTTCATTAACTAACCGAAGAAAAACATTTCATTTATTTACCATTTCCCCGATTTCCAAGTTGTTGTGAGAACTGTTCACATTTTTATGACATTTAAATAAGTCTTTGTCAGCGTTTCGGATATCGAATTCTACAGCCTCCGCCATAAAATTGATTTGAATTTTCATTTTTCCTAGCCATAAAATGCTTCAGTTTCAATCACAACACACAGAGCCAGAGAAGAATCATAGGAAAAGGAAATTGCTTACATATGTAAAACAGATTGGGGTATTTGAGAATTGTTTCTTCCATTTTGTGATTGCCTTGATAAAATCGCTAAATTAATCGGGCTGATAGATGATCTCCGTAGCTTGGCCGTAAAATGGTAAAAGTTTTCATTCCGAAAAAAAAAAAAAAACGGATCTGATCCGGGAATAGTATATGGCGCCCATATGGTCCACCGATATACACTACCATGCCCATAAATGACATTGATCTGGACGCCCAATTAATGCGTCGCCGGCGAGAGTTGGCGGCTCATTAACACGCAGTTTTTCCGATGGCATCGCTCGGCTTGGGGCTTTATTAATAATTCATAGACGCCGCGCCGTAACAGGCACTCGAGACTCTGCTGCTCCATAATGCATTACAAATTTGATTTCAAACAACAGCAACAGATGTGTGCTGTTGCTGCTGCTGCTGCTGGTGATGTGGATGCTCCCAAAGGACCCCCTGGATCACTCATGCTCACACTCATCCGCATCCTGTGACCATTTTTAGACGGGCGTCGTCTGGTCCCGATGCCAGCAATTACTCTCGATTTGGGATGTTGTGTTGTTAAGTTTTGAGATGTTGTTTCCTTGGATTTATTATCTCATTTAAAGTGTAAATGTTTTAAAAGAAAATTCCATATATTTTGCAGGGATTTTACAAAACTACTAAAGATTTTGCTAAAGTTAAAACAATAGACTCTCATATAATTGTTTTAAACATGTTTAAGACCATTTATCCTTAGGTTTAGTATGTGCTATGCCTGTTAGTACTTTTGTTTAAATATATCTAACTATTTATTTAATTAAATGTCCTTAAAATCATATTAAATACTCTAAAAACATAACAAGACAGATACCAGCAATTAATTTTTCTGTTAAATATTAAATTCTCACAGTAGAAGATTAATTTCAACATTCCAACACCCGGAAATTGTTCTCTCGGTTGAACTATCCGCGATTAACATCCCTTAATTGCATTGCATTAAAGAAACATGTGTTTGCAATTTAAATATTAACTGGAAATGCCTAAATACTGGGTATTAAATTCATGCGTTTATAATTTAGTACAAAGCCAAGCCATTTCATATTGATTGCTTTTTGGGGGAACTCGACTGGCAACTCCAATCAGCCCCGTGATACACATTTTTGTGTTTTTTTTTTTTTGTTCGAGCCTGCAATTTCACTGGCCGACAATTCGCCCAAGGCCCCCAAGGAATTGCGGCAACACAGAACCAGCAGTAGCAGCAGCAGCAGCAACATCAGCAGCAGCAGCAGCAACAGCAGCAGCAACAGCAGCGGCAGGAGCAACAGCAGCAGCAGCAACAGCAACAGCAGCAATACCCGCGACAGCAGCAATATTGCTGCTGCGACAGCAACCTGCTGCACCAGCTCGAGGCACATATATACACATTTTATCTTTATTTTTTTGCCAATAAATCATTTAAATCAATTTCCGCCTGTTGCTGCTGTTGCTGTTGCTGCTGCGCCTCCATTTTTTTCCACTGCAATGCATTTTAGCAGAAAACTAAATTGTCAAACGCTTGCCAAAGGCTTGTAAATCGAATTGACATAACGCACTTATCCCCATGATGGAGCCATGACCATGAATATAGAAGAGGACAGAGTTCCTAGAATGCAGCATCCTGGACCAGGGGCTGTTATCACACGCGGCTTATAAATCATAAACCAAAACAATAGGGGAAATGTCGGCATTTGTTTTTTGTTCCCCAGGTTAGTCAGGTTCCACAGAACAGAGAGGAAACCGCTTTGACCAAAAAAGATTTGCATAAAATACGACAAAAATTCCTACACTGCCTGAACGTTCCACTTGACAATGTCTGAAAATTCCACTGATGTTTCCTTTTTCGCATTGTCTCCGCCTCTTTTGCCAACCCGAACAAGGTGATAGAGTCTGGGTATGGTAAGGAATCGGAGGCTGGGACAAAACTATAGTCACATCCGAGACCCGGACCCGGTCCAGGCTCAAGCCTGAGCCTCATTATGCATTCAAGGTCCTTCCTTGGTGGAGGTTGAGGTTGCGGCCCTCGAAAACTGTCAGCGGCACTCAGTGTCGACTTTTCTTTATTAAACCTGACTGACTATATTTTAATAAGTTTGCTCGTTCTTCTTCCCTTTGGCACTTTGAGAAACAAAATGTATAGTTTCAGCTTTAAGCTTGAAGAAAACTAAAGATGAAAGTGTAGAAATAATCTCAGAAGAAAGGAAAAATTTATGTTTTTAAAGTAATTTATAAGAATTCTTTATCTTAATTAATTGAATTTTATAGGATGCTACTTTTCCCCCTTAAAATCATTTCTCTAAGTGTATTTCTTGTCTCTTTCAGGCCACCATTCCACTGCAATCGTTTAACCTTGATTGCAGACGCAACGAGGCATCTCCAGCAACCAAATCGAATGTTGCCTACATGCGCACCCTGTCGGCGCCGAATGGCCAGGGAGGAGGAGCAGGAGGAGCAGGAGGAGCTGCCTCTGCTGTTGGCCAAAGGAAGAGCCTGGCCTGCCCCCCGTTTAATGGTCTGGGGGAGACGATAACTCCGTCACCGACACTGACACCGACACCGACAACTCATAAGCTGACAAATTTCCAAAGCGCATTGAAAATCGAGGAGGCAAAGGCAACGGCAACAGGTGGATCGCCGGCGACCACCTTGGAGGATTTGAAATCTAGGCGACAGCGACAATTGAGCAGCGGCGACATGGAAACAATGCTCCCAGCTCCAACCACAGCCACCATCAGCATCAGCTCCCAGCCGATGTCGATGCCAAAACGGGTGGGCATTAATCATGCGGCGCTGACGAGTAGAAATGCTATAACTCCACCGCCGGCATCCATTGCCACATCCTCGTCCTCATCGTCACCGGCCTCCTCCTCCTCATCATCATCATCATCGCATCCGGTGGTTAAAGGCCACACCGCCACTCCTGGCTATCTGGTGGATGTGACCAAAAAAGGATCCACATCGACCATTTGGACCTCGGAGGAGTCCATTCTGCGCAGCGTTGGCGCCGTCGATGAAGACAATAAGTGAGTGGCAACGAGACGTTGAGATAATTACACTCAAAGAAATTTTAGTTGGGATTAAAATATAGAGAAAATAAAAGAAAATTTAATTCACTTTTGAGTATTGTTTTGTTCTTTCAGAAAAAGTAATTTATAATGTTTTGAGAATAAATATTATGAGATTATAAATACTTATTTTAATACTTCAATAAAAAAGAACTATTCTGAATAACTTGTTGAGAATTACAAGAAAATTCTTATTTTATTTCAAGAATAAAATAATTATTTACTTCTGTTAATTAAGAGAATTATAATCAAAGAATTTTAAATTAAATTTAAACGAGCAAAGTGTAAAATTCTCTTTCCGTAACTTAATTTTCCACAAATTTCAAAATCTTTTTTATCTATACCAAAAAATTAGAGCATTTCTATACAAACCTTTTAAATTTCTTTGAGTGTAACGTACCTCCTCATCTTTGAATTGATTTGTCAACATCATCTAACTCCTACTCTACTTTTCCAGCTCCACTTCGTCTTCCTCGGCCTGTGAAGAGGCAACGGGTGTGCTGAGCTCTGGGAAATCGGGCATCTCTCTGGACTCTTCAGGATTGGATAACGATAATAATGAGAGCGGCATAGGGACGGCAACACCACCCAAGGATATGTCCTATTGGAAGAGCCACCAAATGCAACACCACCTGCATCACCACCACCACCACCATCATCATCATCATCATCATAGGAATGGAGGAAGCAGTGCCCAGGATAATGAGTCTGTGAGCAGTTTGGAGGCACTGCGGAAGATCAAGTTCCAAAAGAGTGGCTCCGTGGCATCTTCCGATGATCCTGATCTCCTAGAGGTCCTTAGCCAATGTGGCAGTGGCGGTGAGGCAGCCAACGAATCGCAGGATGACATGTTGGATGAGGAAAAGGATAAGACAGGCATCAAGTCAGAGCATTACGATGAGTGCCAGGATGAGTTTGGGGTCTGCGATTGTGACTGCACCGATGGTGATGCCAGCAGTGCCAGTGGTGGTGGTGTGACCGCCACTCCCGTAATCCTACGCAGGAAATACACCGCTCCACCACCGATCCTAGTGCCAAGGACTCAACGTAGCCACTCCCTGGATCATTACCATTCCCCACAACATCTGCAACGACCTTGCATGAAAATCCTGCCTAATTATCATCCGGCCACAGCCATGAAGCACAAGGAACGAGGTCAACTATCGCTTGTCCTGCGCCAGGAACCCTTTCAATCTCTACTCTCGCCCTCGGCCACGACGGCCCATCAGCTGCATCATTTCGTGGAGCTGCCATCGCCCAGCAGTGCCTCACTGCACAGCGGCCTGGGAGACTCCGGTGGCATCCAGGAGCTGACCACCAAGTCCAACTCGGCGCCGTTGCTGCTCAAGGAGCGCGAGATGAGCCGGCGATTCGATGACTTTGCCGCCCAGCATTTGGTGAGTGTTTTCCCAAGGCAAAAGCGAGGGCAGATTGAAGGGAATTCATGAAGAAATATATCAGCAAGAGCAAGAAATATTTAAAGTAGACCTTGAAGGGATTATTAAGTGCCAGTTCTGCTTTAATAATTGCAACAAGGAAGTCGCTCAAGGCAACTTGCATGCACTTTATCTTGTTTTACTTTTCAACTTGCTGAATTCCGAAAGGAATTACCATACACCAATCCGCTTAGGGATTTGTGCCCCTTCCCTGGCACTTATCAAGCCGCCCTCGCATTGCCCTTGATTATCAGACATTAATGGACATTCCCTATCCTCTTCTCCTCCACAGACACTGCGCTATTCTCGTTCACAAAGTGATCGCTATTTAGCAGGTGAGTCAAGCAACAAGTTCTCTTTAAGCCACATATAACATAGGAACCAGACGATGTCCGAGAGCCGCAACTAAATGAGTTATTTAAATGGCCCAGACCTGGGTTGTGCATCAAGGCTGAATGCCTGATTTGATGCGCCGGTGGTCCTGCCAGCCAATTAGCGGTCTGTTATTAAGCCTGAGTGGTTTATAATAACAGTCTGTCTGTCTGTCTGTCCGCCGGCATGATTCATAATTTCTATAATTATGAGAGCTCCCTGCTCCTTGCTCCTGCTCCTGCTCCTGATCTATAAATGTGTTGGCAGGGCTTGGATGGGTTTTGTTTGGCCAGCAAATCAATTCCAATTTCCAACTTTTGCTTTCATTCAATGGAATGAGAGGTCCTGTCCAACTCTCGTCATTTAAATTACTTTCATGTTCTTTGGGTATATCAAGAGCAGCAGCTATAGCACCACCACCAACAAACTGCTCTCTTTTTTTGCGAATTTCCAACACTTCCGTCAACACTTCAATACAAATGGCACAATCCCGAAACCCAAACCACAACCAAAAATGGCTGTCAATCTGTCAATTCCGCAGACCATACAATAGTGGTGTGTATCCACTGAGAGAAAGTCTTGAAAGCTGTTTTCAATTTGGTTAATTTAGTTAAGAAACATTTGGGATTAAGTAAGAAACGTTAAAATTAGAATTGGTTCCCAGTAGTTGAGCATTTCTAGATACATATATTACAGCCTTTGATTTATATATTTTCTTGTTCATTGATTTTTCAACAAGAACTCCTAGTTATAAATTAAGAAACCCTTTAAAACAAAGCAGTTTTACTTACTAAAATACGAAAAAGAAAGCCTTTACGCTTACTATTTGTTAGAGTATAGTTTTCGAGTATAGTTTTCTTCTCTATTCCCTGATTCCTATTTTCTTGAAATAGTTTTCCCGCCGTGCATATAGGCATATCTATCCACATATGCCCAGCCTCTTGTCCAGAGTTCGCAGGGTGATGATGATGATGGCACACTCTTTGTGCTAAAAATGGCGTATAAATGAACAGCGAATGGAGAAAAGAATTGAATCACAAACTGGACGACCAAGTGCCCTCCAACTGGCTGCTGCTCCTGCTCCTGCTGGGACTCATTCAATTTCGATTTTGCAGCCTGACTGCTCGCAACGAAATTATGCACATACAAAGCCAGTTGTTGGCATTTGAAGCAGTCTCGAAAAAAATACAGAAAAAAAGAAGAAATAAACCCCGAATGACCAATGACGTCAGAGGGAAAAGATGGTCATTTCATGACCATTAAGCGAGTGTGTTTGCCAGCCATTTCCTCTCGCTGCTTCTGACGTCATTACAGTGACGTCTCGCGCGTCACGACCTTTGGCAAAGGTTGATGGTCATGCACAAGCATCCTGTTATCATCTTATATATATCTCTGTTATCATATAATATATATCTCGTCTTTACGCTTCTTTTATATTACCAATTTTTCGCATTGCTCATACGCCCTGTGTGCTGTTCATAATAATAATGACAGGCTTTAAGGAGCGGCAAGATGATGCTATTGCTACTGTTGCTTCCCATTTATTATTGTTTCTTAACGGAAGCAGGCCTCCCAAGTGCTGTTTATTTTATTGAAAAGATTAACTGCACATATATGTACGTATATATAGACTGTGATTTATATCTGATATATTGCACAAAATACAAATTGCCCCGCAATTCATATTTAATACCATAACACAATGTTGTTGTATTTATCTCTTTGCATATAATATTCTCTGTGTGTTCCGCATCAAGTATATATATAAATATATATATATAAAATGGCATACGATTGATGTGATACAATGTAGCCATGACTTGCAATGATTTGCTCATAATTATTCCTGTTTACTAAATTGAAAGCGAAAAGTAAATGACTTATAAAAATGGGCTTGTTTTATAGTGAAAAGTAAACTTGTTTCTTGTACAAACCAATTGCAGCTGTAGGGAACTGCACTTGTTCGATTAAAAAAACTATTATATCAACAATTATTCTTTTGTTTTCTATATGTAAATGCTGTCCGGCTGTATCATCAAAGCTTCTTTTAAACAGAGACAATAATGCCATTTATTCAGCTCTTCATAAATCATAAAACAAAATGTAAAAGCTTAACCTTGGGCAAACACACGCCCCCCACAATGAGCAACAGGTGCGGTCTGGCCTGTGTCTTGGAAACTTTCACACGGCTACATATAAATTTTAATGAATGTTTTTACTTCTACTTCCCCCGCCATAAAAACAAACACACACAGAGAACTAAAACATAAGCCTGACATTCTCGGGGCCTGTGTCAAGTCCTTTTGCCATGGAACATGGAAATGAAATAAGAAGCATCATCAGTATCATCATTATCATCATCAACAACATGACAGCTATTCATTTAGTTATTTATTTATTTGTGTGCGGCGACTGCCTCCGGGCATTTGGCCCTGGCCAACTAACCACAGCAAAAATAAATAATAATAAGCGATTGTGGCGCCGATAACTCTACAACATGGCCAGGAAGTTGCTTCCATTCCTGCCTCCTTTTTTTTTCTCATCACAGAACAAAACAATACGAAATACGAAATACCTTTAGCCCTTCAGAAGAAGCATGTTGCTCATACGCCCCGTTTGACGTTGCTCATACGCCCCGTGTGCCACTTCGTGGGCAACCCAAAAAGCAACCCGAACACGAACACGAACACGAACACGAACCGAACACGAACCTCGCCATTTTTCCCCCCACACGAACACGAACGTTTGGGAAAATTCATTAGTGCTCTTACAGGCGCCGTGCACGGTTGTCGATTCTCGTGGCCGCAGCGAGTGGAAAACACACTCGGGCTGGAGCGCGTCGACGCCGCCGACTCAGCTTTGTAACGGGAATTTAAACAAATTTAACGATATATATAAAAAAAAAGAGAAAATAAATATATATTTATATATATCTACTAGTGCTTTGAGTGCTTTGTGTTAATTACCTGCCACTTGGTGCAGTTTAATTAGTTAAATTATATTCTCTGGTCTTAACAACATTTGAGTGAGTGCTTTTCAAGACGGCGCTACCAAAGTTGGCCAATATGCAGCGTCGCATGTCTATAACCATACGCGAATACAAGTTCTTTAGGAGCTTCTCGCAGAAGTTCGAGAATTGGCCCAAACGCAAGGCCGAAGCGTTATGGCGGAAAATGCGAGAACGCAAGATTGCAGGTGAGAGTTTGCTTTAGCGGTATTTCAAAAACATGAGATGAAGTCTAAAAGGTATTAAAGTAAGCGAAGAAAAAGGGTATTTTTTAAAGAATTTAAGACAGAAATTAAAGAAAAATTGATGTTGGGAATTTTGGTCAAAGTTTCGCTGTTGAAATAGCTGTTCATCAAGAAGATAGTTTATAAAGGTCAACAAGATATTTGATAACATATTTTTGTTTTTTTTTTTCATATCATATTTCACGACATTTAAAGCAAATAATAAAGAACAGATAGAAAATATCGATATATAGATACTGTATAGATATTAGACGCTAACGTTGATCATCAATCAATAGTTTAACGAAGCAATAAATCAATATTTATACAAAAAATTTATATTAATTAATTGAATAGGAAAAGAATCGGATAATTAAACAAATAAATATCATACACACATTCCATATTTTTCCAAATTATTAATATTTAAATGTAAAATGCAAAATTTTTCGATATTTAAAACTTCGATATGTTAGAGTATAGGAAATAGTCAATATGATATTAAGAGCAATATTTATTCTATTTATTTATTTATTATATTTATTCTATTTATACATCATCCGATGTTCACCCCTAAATGTATATCTTCCACCATTTTCTTGAACTCTTTAATTAAATAATATTTCAAATAATATTATTTTCAACACATTAAGTAATTGAAGACACTTTATATAAGGAAATCAGTTTGATTGTAATTAAAACTAATATATGATCTCAAGAAAAAGTTAAATTTAATTTAAAAATTTACTCCACAAAGACAGATACAATGTAAAAATGTATAAAATAATACAAGAAGATAATCTATTTAATATTAGACTCAAATTTCTCCCTTGTAAGCTTCATTGGGATATATTAAATACCTAATTTCAAGACTTCTTATCCCAATGTGGCCCTGCTTCAAGGGCAATTTTGTTTTGCCCACTGGCCCACCGAACCGCTGGCAATTATTATTTAAGAAAAACTTTATTATTTGTATACAATTATGGAAAAAATGCGTGTCTGGATCATGGTGTTTCTTTTGGTGGCTTGGAATGCGCGCGCGCCACTCGTTTGGTGGCCAGAATATTGGCTGTTTATTGTTTTTCCGCACCCCACACAATAGCCGCATTTATTTTTGGTAATGGGAATGCGGGGCATGGCTATTTCCAGAGCACAGTGCACAGTGCACAGCTTGTACTTATCAGTCGACGCCTCGCATTTAAATCGAACTATTCATGGGGGAGATATGTATATCAATATGGGAATAGGATTTGCAACAAGTGTGCTATTCCTGTCACTGGTCAATCATCTTGTTCAGTCAGTCAGTCACTGTCCCACAGTGTTATGTATATATTTATATATATCCAACCGTCATAATCATAACAATCATCCATCCAGTTCGGACCAGGCCCAGGCTGGTGAAATTGCGCGCCAGTCAAGCAAAGCCATTCATTTAAATAAAGAAAATTGTTTGCGTGTAGTAATAAATGGAAAAAAATTATTATACAATTAATATGTATATTCGTAAACGAGTAAAAAACAAAAACAACAACAAGCAAAGAGTTGAGGGAAATTCGCTTGGTACCTGCCTCCAAAAAAATATAGTATATAAAAACAAAATACAGAAAAACATAACATATATAAATGACGCTTAAATTGTATACACGAAATTGAATGGGCAATTGGAAAGGCATTTTTATGGCCTTTACAAGCTGCTGTCTATATTCGATTAAGGAAGTGCACAATAAGTGTC